GACAAGCACCCATTATTCAAGAAGCTAGAGGTAATTTCCGAAAACTCCTAGTTTGGCATGAAGTAGGCTAATCTGGACATTTTTTTTTTGCTGCTGTTTGTTTGTTTTACTTGACTTGGGAAACTTCACTATCTGTTGGTAAATGAAGTATATACTTGTTGTTTATGTAGGATGAATTTGACATAGACACGGCAGGAGCAGATGCAAGGAAGATTATGGAGAAGAGAATGAAGAAGCGGTTCATCAATTACAAGTATGCGATGCACGCTCACTACCTGAAAGACCCTCAGACAGCCAGGACAGACCCTCCAGTGGACATGAACATAGAGGATTGGCATATGCTGTGTGATCACTTTGAGAGTGAAAACTTTATAGTAAGTAACACCTTCTGTTTCATCATCAATTCTTTCATGTGTAACCTTGCCTTACAATAAATGGTTGCTAATGACTTGTATTTGTCATATGCAGAAGCGAAGCCAAATAAATAAAGCCAACAAGAGTAAGCAAGTGTATGCACACACTTCTGGTGCAAAATCGCTTGATCAAAGAATATATGAGTTGGTAAGTGTTCTCGAATTCAAAGACTAATTTATACATTGAAAGAATATATGAGTTGGTACGTGTTCTCGAATTCAAAGACTAATTTAACTCTGTCTGATTGTGTAACTTTCCTTGTTTCGTGTAGGAGAAGAAAAAGAAGCAAAAGCAGCAGGAGGAGCAGCCTACTCAAGAAGAGCGGGAAACTGATATGGAGGATGCTGATAATGTAGAGGAGGAGCCAATAGATCTCCTATTGTATGCGAAGAGGTATCAGCGGGCTGACGGTAGTTGGGTATCGGAGGAACCGCAGAAGAACTATGTGAGTTCATCCTTTTGTGCCTTGTTTGATTTTCACTGAGTTCATATCAAACCATGTGACATATATATCATTACCCGTGTGTTGCTTTCAATCCTAGTTGGAGATGCAGTCCATGTGGATAGAGGCAAAGGCAGAGGGGAAGCCTATATCAGGTCGTGACATTGTTGAGAAGGTCCTCAAGAAAAAGGTGAAGTATGGACCGAAGGAGAACCCAAGATCAGCAAAGGAACTTCAACTCCAAGCAGAATTGGAGGCAACAAGAGCTGAAGCGGAAAGAAAAGCCAAGGAGTTTGCTGAGAAGATACAGGGTCAGGAGGAGCAGATAAAAAGCCAGGCTGAGAAGATAAAACTTCAGGAAGAAAAGTTACAGAGCCAGGAGGAGAGGTTTGATACTCAAGCAGAGGCGATGAACCAGATGAAAGCCGCCCATGAAAAGCTACAGCATCAAGTGCTAGTCATTGCTCGTCAATTACCCCGCAAATGAACTCCTAAGTCCAAGGTAACAACACTGCCTTAGTTTGCAGAGGCAGATGAGAATGCAGGCTAGGTGTTTGCTGTTTTAAGTATGTTAGTTTATGCTTTTGTGAACAAAGTTTTCATGCTTTGTGTTGTGGTGAACAAGGAGTTTCATGGTTGTGTGATGTTGGACTACTTTGAATGTTTGTTTATGGTGAACGAGGCCTTAGCGGGACATGTGAATGGTCATGGATGTAATATGGTAGATGTTTTCAATTATATCTCCATGTTCAGTTTGCGGATTAAATTTCGCATTATGGAATTTGTTAAGCAGATCAAATGTGACAACAATGGAAAGTTCACATATAATGACAAGTCCATGACGAGCTAAATTCGTCATAATAGGAAAAAATGACAAAATTTACTCGTCATAATAAGGATTTACGACAAAAGGGCCAAGTCACAATTATCAGTTATGAGAAAATGCGTTCGTCATAATACACTGGAATTGCAAAATATATTCGTCATAATAGGAAAATATGACAAAGGATATTCGTCACAACATAATTTGTGACAAAATAATTTAGTCACAACAATGTGATGGAAGAGTATAAACCCAGGAATATGCCTTCAATTTATGACAAAATATGTAGACAAACTTTTCAGTTTGTCACATTATAAACATTTTCTGACAAAGAACTGATTTGTCATATTAGGATTCTAACAAATTATGAACCTCTCATGACAAATATTATTCGTCACAAAATACTGTTATGACAAACTATGATCGTCTAATATGACCAACAAATTTCTCATAAGTATCAATATATGACAAAACTAATGACAAAAAGCTTTCGTCATATTATCTTTGTTTGTCACAATAGACTAACCAGAACCTCATATGTAACGGAAGTATTTGTGACAAATGTGTTTCAAAAATTTGTCACATTTGACCTATCCTGACGGCGATAAAATGACAAAATCTTGTGACAAACGATTTTGTCATATTAGGTCAACTATGACAAAACAGGTATATAATATGACGAAATATCTCCGTCATAACAGGCCGAATTTGTTGTAGTGTCAGCCTGTTCGCATTCCCAATAGTGATAGTATTCTAGTGAAACTTGTTGGTTCGGTTGAATTACAGCTCGAGTTTACTTTACATCATGTTCTACACGTCTCTGAATTCCATTGTAATTTAGTTTTTGTTAGTCTTCTGACTAAGGATAATCATGTGGCTCTGGTTTTCCTTCATGGATTTTGCGTCATTCAGGACTTACTCTCCAAGAAGTTGATTGGGAAGGTTGAGCTCCGTGATGGAATTTTTTTTGCGTTTGTTTGGCGGTGGACGAACGCAAGCTTGTGCAGTTAAGGGAGCGGATTCACTTATCGAGGCTACCTAGCATGCTCGACTGAGCCACCTCTCACCGGACAAGCAGTCTTACATTAGTCGCATGTTATCATTGTCTTTCGGTCACAATAAACGTCCTTGTCATTCTTGTGCTCGGGCCAAATACTCATGAACAACTTTTGTGTCAAGTACTATTACGACGACTTCGAGTTTAGAACTTATTCATGTAGATCTTTGGGGTGGTTACGGAATTCCCTCTCTTAGTGGTGCTCGTAATTTTCTGAATATTGTGGATGACTTTACATGCAGTGTTTGACTTTATAGCCATTTATTTGGTCAATTGGTTACCTATTGTTGCCTTTGGGTTCCAAAGCAGCTTCTTTGTCAGTTTGGGAACTTGTGATTAATAAAGTGCAAGCTCGATTAGCTTCTTGGAAGGCTAGGATGCTTTCTTTTGGCGGGAGGTTGGTTCTTTTGAAATGTGTGCTTTCTAATCTCCCTATCTACTTCCTTTCCCTTTTTAGGGCTCCAACCTCGGTGATTGCTCGGTTAGAGAAGATCTATAATGACTTCTTATGGTCAGGGGTGTTTGAGACTAAACGGTTGCATTTGGTCAAATGGGATATTGTGAAGACTCCAATTACTAAAGGCGGTTTGGGAGTCTTGGATCTCAGGAGTATGAACAGAGCCTTGTTGGGGAAATGGGCTTGGAGATTTGGAGTTGAGAGAAATTCGTGGTGGAGGAGGTTGATTGTTGCAAAGTGTGGTCAGGGTAGGTCCGAGTGGAGACCATGTTGGAATTTGGGTACATATGGTTGTTTTTTGTGGAGGACAATTGTTAACGAAAGCTCTTACTTTTGGAAGGTTGCCTATGTGTCGATCCTCGTGGGGGTTATGGGGTATCTTTTTGGCATGATTCTTGGGTTCCTGGGAAACTTTTGGTGAGTGATTTTCCAAGGGTTGGGTCAATTTCCCAATCCTTGGATGCTTTTGTTTCTTATGTGTTTTCTATGGTTGATAGGTCTTGGGAGATTCCTCTCTCTGTCTCTCTTAGACAGGGCGCTGAAGCAGAACGTGTCTTGTTGATGCAAACTTTGAGTGATCTTCCACAACTATGGATCACCACAGGACATGCACGCTTGGTGTCGCCTTTGGAGTCCTCTGAGGTCTTTTCGGTACATTCGTTCGCTGCAAATCTTATTGAGAGTAACTTTGGGGGTGACGTTGCTTTCCCTTTCAAGTTAGTGTGGATTCCTGTCGTGCCCTCTAAGATCTGTTGCTTCATGTGGATGGTCTATCATGGAAAGATTTCTACTTTGGACAACTTGAAAATTGGTGCATTCTTTGCAAATGCCATGCGGAGTCGATCTCACGTATCTTTTTCTTGTGCCCATTTGCGGTTACGATTTGGGAAAGCTTTAGAAAAGGGTTTGATCTTCATGGTCCTTACCCTCCTTTCCCTCGTGATTTCCTCATTTCTTGGCGAGGCTTGTGGTGTGATCAACGATTCAGTGAATGCATTAAGTTGTTGCCCCATGCAGTACTTTGACTCATCTGGTTGGAGAGAAACGATAGAATTTATAGAGATGTTGATTCCTCCCCACAAGAGATCGAGAACAAGATTGATCGTATGGTCGGACGGTGGCTAAGAGTTTGTAGTCGGATCTCAGATGGACTCTTTCACGAGTGGGTGACGACCGGGACAAAGCACCTTATTTGATTTTCGTTCTCTTTTTGTTTTTGTTTTGTTTTGTTGTTTTGCTTTTTTCTCTCTTTGTTCTAGTCTTGTCTTCATACCTAAATTTGAGAATGCTTTCTTTTTTATTTTTCTGTTGCTAGCTTGCTCTACTACTGGTTGAGCTGCTAGTATTTTTTTTTTTTTCTAATAAAAGTTTCCATCATTCATAAAAAAAAAAGTCGGACCATTATGGATGAAAAATCAGGTCATTTAATATATTTGACAATTTTAATTGAGGTCGTGTACGTTGCGTCAGCTACCAGTTTCAACGCTTCGAGTATGGCTTGTAGTGACAATCTGTCTACTTATCTTGTCACATTGCCATATATGAGAAATGCAATGAAAATCATATGTAGAAGTAACGTATATAATGAAGTGCTGGAAACTCAAAAGTAACATAATGAAACAGACAAATGATACAAGTGATGCATACAATAGTGTGAACAAATATACAAGCCCACAAACTCAAATAATAACAACCAGATCATCAAAAACAAACAATGAGCCCTCTACACAAGAAATCGCAAGACATAGCAACACCATCGTCAACTCCGAAACACAATCACGTCCACCAACTTCGACTACTTCACTGATCAGTTTCCGGGGCCCGCCGGGGTAAGGCCGGGGATGGAAGGCATGGTTGGCAAACCGCTGGGCAGTGGCGGTAGAGACACCTTTGGCAGGGAAGGAATGGTGGGCATGGTCGGAATCGCGCCGGCGCTGGGGAGCGGTGGCAATCCTCCTCCGGACGGCAGGGTGGGCATGGCGCCGGCGCTGGGAAGTGGTGGCAATCCTCCTCCTGTTGGCAGAGATGGGATGGTGGGCATGGCGGCGCCGGCGCTGGGGAGCGGTGGCAATCCTCCTCCGGTTGGCAGAGATGGGATGGTGGGCATAGGAGGCAATGCGCCGGGTTTCGGCAGTTGGAGGAGCTGTCGAGCCGCCATTCCATTTCCCATGTTGCACAATGTGACGGCGAGGACGAGAGCAACGAGGAACAAGTTAGAAGAAGAAGCCATGATTCTGATTTAACTTGTTGGAGGAGGTTTGGAAGGGTTGTTTTGTTTGGGTTTCGTTGGTTTCAAGTGATGGAGGAAAAGGTGTCGGAGGTGGGAATTTATATATAGGCAGTCAAATTATTCGTATAGTTGAGAAAAAAGTACAAGTAGTTCACCTCCTGTCTGTTTTTCTTTGTTTGGAAAAAGTAGGCCACCTCCTTACCCATAAAAAATGCTGACGGGGTAGGTAAGGAAAACTGCTGGTCGGCTAGTACATTGAAGAAAACTAAATGCGGAAGTAAGATAACACGGACGATTTACGTGCTATCCTCGTTCGATATGAACGAGACTAATCCATGAAGAGCTCACAAGAGCTATCGGCCAAACTTTTATTAAACTCACAACTACACCACGTTATAGTAGCATGTAGGGCTGGACGTTCGGTTATCGGTTGCCGGTTATCCGGCCGGTTAGACCGATAACCGGCTGTTACCGGTTAACCGACTAACCGAAAAAATCATATGCGGGCGGTTGTCGGTAGCATGTTACCTGCGCCGGTTAACCGGCTAACCGAAGGTGATAACCGTCGGTTAACCGGCTAACCGAGCAATTAACCTCCTCCCCTCATTCCGCGACGCCGCCCCACCCCCACTTCCTATTTCCTAAAATCGACGAAGCCTAACCCTAATCGACGCCGCCTTCCCTTCTCTTCTCTCTGCATCGCGACGACTCCCTAACTCTCCCTGCCGCCTGACTCTCCCTGCCGCCTGCCCAGCCCTGAACGGCGAAGACCCCATCGTTCTCTCTTCTGCCCAGCCCTGAACGACGAACCAAAGAGGCAGATATGTCGCCGCCGCCAGCCCCTTGCTCTGCCAAAGCGAAGCCACCGCCAGCCATCCCCTTCGCTCCGCCGCCGCGACCTCGCCTCGGTCTCCTCTGCTCGCAGCCAGCAGTCCTCCTCTATTGCCTATGCAACCCCGCCATCTCCTCCGCCGGCACCATTCCTTTCCGACGACTGTGTTGTGCAGTTAGCGCGGTTAACCAACCAACTAATCGGTAACCGACCGGTCAGTTGTCGGATAACCGAGGCGGACTGTCCGGCAGTTGTCGGTAGAGTCGGTTGTCATCTCGGTTAACCGGTAACCGACCGTTCGGTTACCGGTTATAACCGAAATAACCGAAATTCCAGCCCTAGTAACATGCAAGCCATATATATAGGCTATTAACCCTACACTCCGTGATCGACTAGGGTTATAACAACTTGGTCAATTACAATTGACTACCACGTATAACTATTGGTGACAATTAAGGACAACCAACTAATTTGCCTAATTGCCACGCAACACTCCCCCTCGAGCTGAATCATGAATATCATGAAGGCCCAGCTTGGAGGCAAGATAGGCGAATTGCTCACGACCCAACCCTTTGGTGAACACATCCGCCACTTGATCACTAGTGGAGATCTTCTTGGGATCAATCTCCATTGAAGCCACTCATTCTCTGACAAAATGGCAATCCATTTCCACATGTTTTGTGAGCTCATGAAAGACTGGATTCGAAGCAATGTAAAGAGATGCTTGGTTGTCACAGTATAACGGAGTGGGACCTCTTGACTTCACACCTAACTCCTGTAGCAACCAACGTAACCATATCAACTCACTAACTGTGACAGCCATCGATTAGTACTGAGCTTCGGCCTAGGACCTTGCCACTGCTGACTGTTTCTTCGTACGCCATGACACAGGACTTTGACCTAGTTGAATGAAATATCCAGACGTCGAACGACGCGTTTCTTCGCTTCCTCCCCATTATGCGTCGCAATACGCCGTTAGAGTCAAGTCAACTTTTGAAGAAAAGAACAAACCATGCCCAAGAGAATGCTTCAAATATCGTAAAACACGATATGATGCTTCCACATGCTGCTATCTAGGTGAATGCACTTCCTGGCTCAATATGTTAACTGCATATGTGATATCAGGTCGTGTTACTGTTAAATACAAGAGCCTCCCAACTAACCTACGATATGCTGAAGGATCATGTCCTGCTGGACCCCAACACGGGTGATGTGTTGATTTTGTTCAATAGGGAAAGAGCACGACTTTACTCCAAGAGCACCAGCATCATTCAGGATATCTAACACGTACTTACGTTGAGATAATGAGATTCCATGACGCCACCGTTCCACTTCTATCCCCAAAAATACTTCAATGGCCCTAAATCTTTGATACTGAATTCCCGTTGCAGAAAAGCCTTCACCATTTCAATGACTTCCAAACTATCTCCCCCTAGAACAATATCATCCACGTATATGAGAGCAAATACGAACACTCCATTCTTCCGGTATTGAATAGTCATTGATCTGCTCGTGAACAACTAAAACCGAACTGTAAGGTAGCCAATGTGAACTTTTTGTACCAGTTGCGCGACGCCTGACGTAATCCATAAAGTGATTTATGAAGACGACATACCCGCGCGTCCCCCTGTCGAGCAAACCCTTCCAAAACGCGCATATAAACTTCTTCATCAAGATCGCCATGGAGAAATGCGTTATTGTCGTCAAATTGCTGCAAAAACCAACCATGTTGAGCCACAAGTGCCAACACGCAACGAACTGTAACTAACATCGCAACCGGAGCGAAGGTGTTGTGGAAATCATTCAATACTACCATCTGGCCGGTATTTGTTCTTAAAACCCCACTTGCAATCCACGATCTGTTTCCAGGGCGAAAGAGAACACAGCTCCCATGTCCCATATGCAATGAGAGCGTCAAATTCACATTGCATGGCGTCGCGCCACCAAGCATGCAGAATCGCTTCGGCAAACGTGCGAGGCTCCTCCATACGTGTGATTGCTGCAACAAAAGCATGATATCATGGTGACAAACGGTCATAACTAAAAACATTATCCATAGGATATTGCTCACAAGAATGGGCAGTAGGTAACGTGACCTCGTAAATATCAAACCGACGAGGCAACTGACGATGATGATCCCGACGATTGAGTTCAACGACTGGCGATGGGGAGGTATCCGGGGATGATTGATCCGGAGATGACGTATCAGGCAATGACGAAGCTGGTGACGACATAGGAGTGAGTAAAGTGGACCCGGGATCAGGGTTTGAAGTGGGAGAAGAGACCTCAAAAGCTATGTCTTCATGCACACTAGAAACAGAAGCGTCATCATGATCATCGCCAGGGTCAAGAGAATGATCATCAATCGCGAATTTTGGAACAACGGGAGGTACAGACGAGGAACTAGGGGTGGAGGACGAATGGTAAGGAAAATGCTCTTCAAAAAAAAAAAAACTACATCATGTGATGTAAACACAGTCTGGTCATCCAAACTAAAAACCCGATACCCCTTTTGGTTAGCTGGGTAACCAACAAAAATACACGGTCGTCCTCGTTCCACAAACTTGTCAAGAGAAGAGTGTGTGTCCTTGGCATAGACCAAACAACCAAATGTAGGAAGATGAGCATAAGTTGGTTTCTTGCTAAAGAGACGCTCAAAAGGAGTGTTGTTACCGGTCACAGAGGAAGAAAGCCGATTAATCAGATATGCTGCAGTTAGGACACATTCTCCCCAAAACTTGATGAGTAAATGAGCATGGAACCGAAGGGAACGAGCAACTTCTAACAAATGTCGAAGCTTACGCTCCACAACATCATTTTGTTGTGGCGTATCAGTGCATGACGTCTGTAGGATGATGCCTTCACTTGCGTAGTTGGTACGTAAAATATTAGTTTGGAACTCCATACCATTATTTGCCTTGATACGAACCACGGAATGACCATATTGGCGTTGAGCCTATTGACAAAACATCATCAAATAACCAGCAACTTCTGACTTATACCAAAGAAGGAACACCCATACCGCTCGAGAAAAATCATCAACCATAGTAAGGAAATAATGAGCACCACTCAACGATGGATCTTTATATCCACCCCAAATATCAACGTGAATCAACTCAAATGGACGAGTAGTCTTAATGGAACTCAACGGAAAAGGACTGCGAGTCTGGTTAGCTCTTAAACAAGAGGAGCAATGACCCAGATGTAACTGTCTAGAACTGGAAACAAAAGGTAACAAAGACAGCTTATCGAAAGATGGGTGACCCAGCCTGGAGTGCCACAAGCGAGCAGATGAGCTCCCATCTCCTTTAGTATTGTATGCAGCCAGGTCCTTCACTTCATCAAAGAGGCGAAGAAAATACAATCCATCATGTTGATGGCCCATCCCAATCATCTTCTTGCAACGCGTTCCTGCACGATACAGAAGTCATGCAAGAAGATACAAGCAATGGAAAACTCCTTAGTTAACCTGATGATGAACATAAGGTTGCATTTGAACTCGGGAACTAACAAAACACGAGAGATAACCATCTCGTTACTCAACCGAACTGACCCAACCTGCTCAACGTCAACAGATTTGCCATTTGGAATTTGCACCCGTAATTCCGACGTCTTGAAACCATTAAACAGAAGACTAATATCATGGACAATATGCTCGTTACAACTCGAGTCCAGAATCCATGTAGTAGGATGAAAAGATTTACCCGTGAGTTTCGTAGTCGAGGCTTCAGGTGAAAAAGCTGATCTTGCGAGGAATTCCTTGAGTTGCGCCAGCTGCGCCATGCTTAAACCAGTAACCGGACTCTCAAGAACCTCGACAGCCGCCTCCTTCGGAATCTGCTTGGGGCGATCATTACCCTTCTTGCGACCAGCACCTTTCGATTGAGATTAATATGAGGTTAATCTCACGTTTGGTATATCTGTGTCGGAAATCTTTTTCACAAAAAAAGACTAATATGATAATTTTGTTGTGATAGAATGAAATTATTCATGACAAGTTAATTTATCACCAATGCTTTGCTTTTGTGATCGACAAAATTGTCATAATAGATACATTGGTGATGAAAAGTTGGTCACTAATGAATGCAATCTACAATGTCTATACTGA